TTTCCAAAGGTGAGCAGGTCACGGGTCAAAAGTTCTTCACTATAGACAAAGGGATGGTATATTTACTATTGCTTATACAAATACTTGCATTTAAACTGGTTGACCTTTAAATATTTGACCCCAAGAAGAGGGCATCTTTTCTTTATCAGGCTAAAAGTTTTAAAATATAGAAAAATCAAATGAAGAAAACAGAAATTTTCAAGGATTGGAAGGGATCCAGATCTAACCACAGTGAAATCGCTCAACACAGTGGACAGCTAAAAAAGCATGCTATATAAATTTTTTTAAATTCATTATTATTATCTTTCCCGTATTTGAAGTTTGTCCATAAATGCAAACAACAAATATAGAACATTGCATTAAATAGATGTTCTTCATAGCCTAAGAAAGCAGGGTTGGGGATGTCTCATCAAGATTTAATATTACGGGTTTTACACTTTTAAATTTGTTTGTATCCATTTTGCCAATGAGGAAATAGACATCCAGAGAAGTTAATTTGTTTAGCAGTTCCCAGAGTACAAAGAGTATGAAAAGCAGAGTAGGCACATGGTACTTGGGAGTGTGGACTCTAAAGACACGTTGCATGTGTTCATATCCTGGTTTCATCACCCCCGAGTGACTGTGGGCAAGTCCAATGGCCACTCTATGCCTTGGCTTCCTTAGCTATAAAACGCAAATGAGTATACTGAGTCCATATCATCACATTACATTCTAAGTAAGATAATGCATAGAGAGCACTCAAAACAGTGTCTGGTGCATAGTAAGCTCTTAAAAGCTTTAGTTGTGTATAAAAATCACCTGGAAAGCTCACTAAAGATTAAGATACCTGGGAATCTCCTCCAGAGATCCTGATTCACTAGATCTGGGCAAGAACTTAGGAATCTGCATTTTAATAAACACTGACAGTGAGTTGGAAAACCATTATTAGTGCAGCCAGATGTACCTAATTCCAAAGTTAATGTTGACTCAACAGGAAGCAAATTCTTCAGTCCCTTTCCATTTTGTATTGCTATTAATATGATTTTCCAAAGGGGCCGAGTGTTACTTCAATCTAACACCTTCCTAATTAACATCTCGTCTACATTGCTTTGAAAATAATCACTTTTTTTTTTTTTGCCTCTTAGATGCTCTCTTAAGTCACAATATTTTCCATGATGTTGTTCTTCATTTTTAGAGTCCCATGACTAATGAGTCTTCATTTTTAGAAGGCCACGACCAGGCCTTCATGTCCTTCCATTGCGTAGCATCAAGGAGTTAACTCATGTCCTCTCTAGGCTATAACCCAGTCTCCAAAGCCAAGCCCGTGTGATCAGAAACAGCTGAGTGTTCAGGGTAGCTGTGTTTCCAGGCCAACCCTAATTTGGTTTTCTTGCTTCCACCCCCAAACCAGGAGGCCTGCAAGCCCCACATAGCAAACAACTCGTTTGTGGAATTGGCTGTTATTACAGGGAGATAACTGAGCTGCCTCCTGAAACATGAGGTTCTTAAACCAATTGGGTATCATATATACCCAGTGCTTTCTGGAAAAGTAAAGTGTACAACTCTATTTCACCATGTTGGTTTGGAAAGTAGACCTCCGAAACCAAAAGCAAACACTCAACATTCCAATCCAGCTCCATCATCTTTCATGATAGGGCAAGTGAAGTCACATTTGATTGGGGTTTTAGTTGCTCTCCAGGAATGATGAACTCAGCTTGATAACAGATGTTCTAAGAAGCAAACAAAAGCTACCAAGCAAATATTTTTTTCTGGTATCACTGCAGCTTTTCCAAAATGACTGGGTGATCTGACAATAGAAGGAAAAACAATAGAGTGATTCCATATTTCAAGCCAGATACTTACTTTGAATGAAGCTCTTTGAAGCACTCAGTAGCTCAATAACTAGTCTTTTTCTAAATTCCTATAAAATTTAAAAACAAAGAAACACTATGGAAGATGTCGGAACAGCAAACACACTCAAATGTGCTGTAGATGGGATAACTGGAAAATAAGAATTCATTAATCTTTTCTTGAATTTCTAATAAATTCAATTGCATTTATATATTGGAAGACTTGTACTTTTTTCTATTAGTAAAAATACTCCAAATGTTTCATGATCTCCTGCTCAAATAACCTAGAGTATGCTCAAGTACTTTGTGTTAAATAGTTGCATGGTGAAGTTTTTTCTCTATCATTTCAGTAAATCCAGCCATTGCACCTGCTCACAGGTTGAAGCGAGAAATCAATACGTGAGGCTTGTTTCCCAGGGGCCCTTCCCCTCCTCACCCGCTAAACCCAATACAGCTGTGCTGGGCGCGGTGGCTCACACCTGTAATCCCAGCACTTTGGGAGGCCAAGGCAGGCAAATCATGAGGTCAGGAGATCAAGACCATCCTGGCTAACACAGTGAAACCCCATCTCTGCTAAAAAATACAACAAATTAGCCGATCATGTTGGCATGTGCCTGTAGTCCCAGCCACTCAGGAGACTGAGGCAGGAGAATCACCTGGACCCAAGAGGTGGAGGTGGCAGTGAGCTAAGATTGTGCCACTGCATTCCAGCATTCCAGCCTGGGTGACAGAGCTAGATTCCATCTCAAAAAAAAAAAAAAAAAAAAAAAAAAAAACCAGCTGAGGGATCATCATCCTGCGCTGAGCCATTCTATCAAAGAAAGAATAGAAAGTTATTAAAAAGTGGTAAATATGAAGGTTAGGAAGATATGTAAACAAGGATACATAAGATAGTGTGAAATGAGGAAAAGCAGAATAAGAAAATGAATACTTACTAATTAAAACTATATTAAAAGCCATACGGCCTGCACAATTACTGTCAAGAGGCCATGATTTGTGTTGTTAAGCTGTTGGTTAGAATATGATATGCAGCAAAAAAAAAAAAAATTTATACACACACACACACACACGTGTATATATATATATATATATATATACATATGAACCTTTAGTTCATTCTTAGGAATCTGTCCAGTAAAAGCAAGAGTATCAGTATATAGAGATATAATGATAAATAAACACACATACCAAATATACATATACATATTATATATTATATTTCTTGTTTTTTGAGACAGTGCCACACCATTGCACTGTTTCACCCAGGATGGAGTGCAATGGCGTGGCTCACTGCAACCTCCACCCCACCGGGTTCAAGCAATTCTCCTGCCTCAGCCTCCCAAGTAGCTGGGATTACAGGCACACACCACCACACTCACTAATTTTTGTAGTTTTAGTAGAGACAGGGTTTCACCATGTTGGCCAGGATGGTCTCCATCTTTTGAGCTCGTGATCCTTGGCATCCCAAAGTGCTGGGATTACAGGCATGAGCCACCGCGCCCAGCCTATACATTAGATTCCCGTTTTTCATAAAGAAAGTGCCAAAGAACACACACACGGCTGTTACCTCGAGGTGGGATTGGGGACATAGAGTGTTAATTAACCTTTGTCACAGCCTTCAGTGGTACAAAAACCTGCCGCTCCGGGTCCTCTCATTTGAAGACACCCACTGCCTGAGGATAAAGAAACACTGCTTATTGCGGATCTGAGGCTGATTCCCCAGCTCCCAGGAACACCCTTCCCACAGCCTGTTCCCCAGACCTAGGCTGGTCTCCTCATGTCTGGTCCCAAGTCAAAACCAGCTGTTCCCATTTTAGAAAACAGTACTACTACTTCCCTTGCCTTGTATTATCAGGGATTTAGGTTGTCTGATGCTCCTCGGGGTACAGCCGCCAAACCACCAAAGGGCAGCTCACAAGCAAAATTCTTTCATGATGCTTCACCATGTTTTTTCTTTTTTGAGATAAGATCTCACTCTGTTGCCCAGGCTGGAATGCAGTAGGGCAGTCACAGCTCACTGCAGCCTCAAACTCCTAGGCTGACAGGATCCTGGCACCTCAGCCTCCTGAGTAGCTAGAACTACAGGTGTGCACCATCATACCCAGCTAATTTTTTTATTTTTTTGCAAAAACGGGGTCTCCCTATGTTGCCCAGGCTGGTCTTGAACTCCTGGCCTCAAGTCATTCTCTCACCTTGGCCTCCCAAAGTGCTAGGATTACAGGCATGAGCCATGGCACCTGGCCACCTCACCATTTTTGCTGACTGAGTCACTTGACTAACCTAACTATAGCTTGCTGTTGAAGATGCTGGCAACTTAGTAGACAATACATCAAGATGCAATGATGCTTCGTAGTAATGTAATACCTTCCATCCAACCAAGGTAAAAGTGTCAACTAAATGCTAATGTCTCCGCCAACCACAGACAGGGTTTGCAGGAGCAATGGCTATAGGGACACTAAGATTTCACCCTCCAGAAGACAGTATCTTCCTGTGTCATGGCGAGATCACCAGCTACCCACAGACAGCCTGAACTCCAATTGTCTTCCTGCACATGTGCCTTTAAAAGTTTTACTGGCATTATTGCTTTTTTACTTCTGGTAATTGCTTTAAAAGAACAAAGCTCTTTGTTTAAAGGGGGCCCAGGGATCTCATAATTGCCACGAGGCACATGAGATGTTCCTAGACTTTCTAAACGGTTTCTCTTTTAACATTAAATATTAAGTTCCTAGTGTTTGGCCAAAATGTAGATGCTCCCTGGGGAGGAGGTGATATCAGGAAGATCAGATTGTATAGACTGGTAAGAGATCCCTCCCACATCGCTGACTTCAGAACCACAAAAAGCGCACCTGAGGAGGGGTGCCGGCGACCCTGTACCCATGCAACCACCATGTCTTGTCAGAAACAGGGCACACTCTGGCCCCAGCTGCATCAGGGGCTTCGGGCTCGTTAATAGTATTTCTATATTAAAATAAACCATGATGTATCTGTTGACCTGCAATGAATCACATCAAGGCAATTCTTAAATGAGTGTTTCCAGAATCTTTAGGGGCTCCAATTCAGCTTGTGCACGTGCTCACTGACTTAAAACCCTTCTTTTCCCATGTATATTTTTCCCCAGAATTTTCCAGCTGTAACTAACAGTAATTTCAGTGACATTAAATACTGTTACAGGAACTTTTGAAATGCAGAGGAGCCTTTAGAATAAAGCCTTGAGCATGAGGGGCAGACCCCTGCATCCAACCACCACCTGACTCTGTGTGAACCAGGAACTGTTAGGTGACCCCATTGGCTCGAGTGAACGACCCAGGCTTGCACAAGGGGAGACCCGGGGAAAACATGGTCCTTCCCTTTCCTGGGGAAGACAAGTTTTTAAAATGACAATGTCCTATTTTCACAGAATGTCTGTGCTGTGATAAAGGTCATCTGCATACAATGTTACGATACAGACCTCAAACCTGTAAACATGAGGAACTTCTGCCTCTAGGTTAACTGGTTTCCCATGGTACAGGACACAGTACACAGTCCAGGAGGCGGAGCTTCTGAGATACCTAGAAGCAGCTTAGAGGCAAAATGGCAAAACAAAGCAGCACCGACAAATAAAACCAAGCTTCTCAAACTGGCTCTCACCTCGGCCTAACTAGTTATGCACCACTTGAATGACTATATCAAGTTCCCTCGAGTCTGCTTTTACTTTAAAATGCTATTGTAGGGTTGAGTCATCCATTCCTTATCTTGTCCAAAGTATTGTTCATATCTTGTAATCAATTTGTGGCTAAAAGTAGTGACAAGCCATTTACAATGCCAGAAATCCAATTTTGTATTAGTTAGAGTCAGGTTTGGCTCTAAAAAAAAATAATAATAATAATGAATGTGATAACTTGGATGAAATGGCCAAATCTGTTAAGAAATGAGAACTATCAAAATTCACTAAAGAAAAAATACGTATCCTTGTATAGTCCTATATCTATTTGAAAGCAGGAATTACAGTTCAAAACCTTCATACAAAGGCTACCAAATATTTAAGAAAGAATTAATACCAACTACACACAAATTTTTCAATAAAATTAAAGAGGGAGGGAGGCTTCCTAACTCATTCTATGAGGCCAGCATTAATTTGATCTCAAAACTAGACAAAGATCTTACACTTAAAGAAAATGCAGACCAATGTTTCAGATGAGTATATATTTCAAATTATGAACAAAATTTCAGCAAATCAAGTCCAAAAGTACATAAATATATCATGACCAAGTATGGTTTCTTTCAAGAGTACAAGGCTACTTTAACATTCAAAATCTATCAATATAATTCATTATAATAAAATAATAAAATAATTTACAGAAAAAACATTGTTATGTCTATAGATTAAGAAAAAGAATTTGAAAAAATCCAAAGTTATTGATAAAACTCTCATTAAATTAGAAATTAAAAAAAAAACTTTCTTAACCTGATAAAGGGTATTTATTTTTAAGAAGTATATCCAACATAATAGTTTTTTTTTCGGATGAAGTCTTGCTGTAAATTAGAAATAAAACTTTCTTAACCTGATAAAGGATATTTATTTTAAAAACCTATATCTAACATAATTCTTTTTTCTTTTCTTTTTTTTTTTTTTTTTGAGATGGAGTTTTGCTCTGTCACCAGGCTGGAGAACTGTGGTGCAGTCTTAGCTCACTGCAACCTCTGCCTCCTGGGTTCAAGCAATTCTACTACCTCAGCCTCCAGAGTAGCTGGGATTACAGGCACCTGCCACCACACCTGGCTACTTTACTGTGTTTTTAGTAAAGATGAGGTTTCACCATAATGGCCAGGCTGGTCTTGACCTCCTGTCCTTGTGATCTGCCCTCCTCAGCCTCCCAAAGTACTGGGATTACAGGCATGAACCACCGTGCAAGGCCAAATTCTTAAATGTAATAAGAATGTCAGTTTACGGTTAAAGACTATATGGCTTCCCAATAAGATCAGGAACAAGGCAAAGATACCCATTTTCACCACTCATATCCAACTTTGTACTAGAATTTCTAACCTGTACAATAAAGCAAGACAAAGAAATAAAACTTGTCTAGACTGAAAAGGGAAAACATTCTTTATTCACAGAAAACATGATTGTCTATGTAAAAATCCTATGGAATCTCAAAAAAAAAAAGTCATGAGAACAAAGAGGGGAACTTACTAATGTTGCTGAATGTAAGTTATATAAAATCAGTTGTATTTCTACATGTTAACTAACAATGAGAAATTTAAACTTTTTAAGAAATCGCATTTACAACAGAATCAGAAAACAAAAATTACTTTGAAATAAATCTGTGAAAAAAAGGTACAATACCTATACACTGAAAACCAGAAAATATTGCTGAGAGAAAATTAAAGAAGACCTACATAAATGGGGACGTATACCATCTTCATGGATCAGTATCTATCTAAGGTGTCAGTCCTCTCTACACTGACCTATAGATTCCAAACAATCTGAATCAAAAGTCCAGCAGGCATTTTCATAGAAATTAACAAACTGATTCAAAAATTAATGTGGAATGCAAACAACCTAGAGGAGCTAATTCCAGTAACTTTGAAAAAGAATTTATTGAGAGGACTTACATTACCTGATATCAAGACTTATTACAAAGCTACAATAACCAAGAGAGTCTTGAATTTGAGTACTGATTGACATAAAGACAAATGGAACAGAACAGAGTCTCAGAATAAACCCATTTGTGCTGGTCAATTTATTTTCCACAAAGTTACAGTCAAGTCAGTGGAGAAAGAATGGTGTCTTCAACAAATGATGCTGAAACAACTGGACTCTATTATGAATTTTAAAGAGTTGTAATTCATAATTCACACCATACACAAAAATGAGTCAAAAAAGATTGTAAACTTAAATGCAAACATTAAACTATAAAACCTTCGGAAGAAAACAACGGGAAATCTGTAATCTGGGAGCAAGACAATTTCTTACCAACAACAACAAAAGCCTAAGAGAAATATAGTCAACTGGATTTTCACAAAATTAAGACCTCTCAAAAGACATTTCTAAGGGAATGAAAAGATAAGCCATAGACTAAGAGAAATTATTTGCAAGTAACTTTTCTGATAAAAGATCTACTAAATGTATTCAGAACATTTGAAGAACTCTCAAAATTCTGTAAGGAAAAGCAACCCTAGTTTTTAAAAATGGCAAAAGATCTTAACACAGAGGTCATCAAAAATATATATATATACAGAAGGCAAAGAAGCACATGAAAAGATATTCAACATCGATATTTATTAGGAAAATGCAAATTAAAACCTCAATGAGATCCCACTATACACATTTGACAATATCTAAAATCAAAAAGACTGATCACCTCAAGCATTAATGAGGATTTACAACAACTGAGACCTCATGGACTGCTGGTGGGAACCTGGCAATGTTACAGTCATCTCAGAAAAGAGTTTGGAGGTTGGGCATGGTGGCTCACACCTGTAATCCCAGCACTTTGGAGGCCGAGGTGAGAGGATTGCTTGAGCCCAGGAGTTTGAGACCAATCTGGACAACATGGGGAGACCCCATCTCTAAAAAAAAAAAAAAAAAAAAAAAAAAAAAAAAAAAAAAAATTCATTAGCCAGGCATGATGGCACATGCCTGTAGGCCAAGCTACCCAGGAGGCTGAGGTGTGAGGATTGATGGAACCTGGGAGGTTGAGGCTACAGTGAACCAAGATTGCACAACTGCACTCCAGCCTTGGCAACAGAGTGGGACTCTGCCTCATAAAAGAAAAAGAAGAGCTTGATAATTTCTTAAAAAGTGTTAAACTCATACCTGCTATATCACACAATTATTTCATTCCTAGGTTTCATCCAAGATAAACAAAGCATATGCCCACACAAAGACATATACGTGAATAGACATAGCAGCTTTATTTAGAACAGCCAAAAACTAAGAACCATCCGCATGTCCATCAAAAAGTTAATGGATAATGGAATTCCACTGGGCAATAAAAAAGAATGAACTATTATTGAAACACTCAATGAGAGGTTTGAATCTCAGAATAATTATGCTGAGTGAAAGAAGCCATATCTCTCCCAAAAAAAGTGCATCTTGTATGATTTCATTTATATTAATGTCTAGAACATTCCAGCTACTATATAGTGACAAGAAGCACATCAGCAGCTGCTGTGTGGGGAGACAGGGAGGTAAGGGAGATGGGTGGCCAAGGGGCATGAGGAAACTTCTGAGCGTGGTGGAAATGTTCATTACCTTGATTGTGGTGATCGCTTCTTGAGTGTATACATTTATCAAAAGAGTATACATTTATCAAACTAACTTCAAACATGTGTAGTTAGTTTGTCTGTCAGTACACCTCAATAAAGTTATTTTAAGTCACCTTATCAATGAGGGCTTCTCTGAATAACTCCCTCACTTAAAATCACAACATTGCCCACCTTCCCCACCTGTCTCTTCCTTAATTTTTCTCCATAGATTCTATCACTTTCCAGTATAACGTATGTTACTCACTAATTTTGTTTATGTCTGTCTCCTCCTGCCCATGCCACTGAACTGTGAGCTTCCTGAGGGTAGGGCTGTTTTCTGTTTTCTTGCACAATATGTCCTAGCAACTAGAAGAGAACCTCAGTGAAGGAATGAATGATGAAGGCTTCTTTGCCTCTCTAGCCTCCCATGAGCTCTCTCAGATCTTCTTTTTTATAACACAGTCAGACTGAGTTCTCATTCCTAAATACATAAGGTAATAGAAAGAAAGCAGGAAATATGCATGTATTCTATTCATGATTCCTTATTAATTATGGGAGTCATTGAGCCTTTTGGGTTTCAATTTCCTCATTTATAGAAAGAAAAATAGATGATCTCTATGTTCTAAATGTTTGTTATTGTGGGATGCGCTCTTCTCAAAATTAACCTACAGATCCATTAAAAGTGGGAGATTTAGTAACTTAGTATATACATGTATACAGTAGATTTATATGAACTGACTTGGAAAAATACACATCAAAAAATAAGTAAAAAGAGATGCTGTCAAACGATATGTATAGTATGACCCAACATACTAAACTATTGTAAAACTAGATCTATGCATGTATGTCCAGTGGGACACAGAGGCCCAGGGAACAGGTGGGGTGATGGCTGCTCAACTGCCAGCTGTGGTTACTTTCAGGATCAGAGGGAAGGAAAAGGGAGTTTCACTTTTTACTTCGCATGCTTCAAAACAAGAGCAGGAAAGCCATTATAAAAGAGATATTTTTTGTATTTATGCTTTTTTCCAAATTGTCTATATAAATAAAACTATTTTTTTAAAGCATATTTAATTAAAACTCTTACTCCTGACCTCAAATATCCACTTCTACTTGGAAAACCTCTCTAACTTAGACTGCAGAATGAAAGGCTGTTATTATTTTCCTGGGCCTGCAAATCACACTGAAACTAATAGTGTTCCAAATCTGTGCCAAGCTCACTGCTGAGCTGCATTTAGCACATTCCCTAAAGTGCCCTTACTCTATAGTAAAGGTAAGTTTCCTCATCCTGAAGAAAAGATATAATTTCTGCACTAAAGTGGAGAAGACAGAGAGCAAAAGAGAGTCAATGAAGAAGAAAAGAATGGAAAGGGTCCTGATCTGTGATCTTGAGAGCA